GAAATTGAATACTTATATATGTTATATATATATTTATAAGATAAATATTTAACAAGCTTCTAATCCGATATATATAACTGAATGAAATGCAATAAATACTTAACGTTATAGATTTTTCACTTATAAATTNTTGTTACAAAAATGTCAAATACAAATTAATTATATGCTTAAGAATTAAGCAGATCTTCTTAGCAGAATTATTAAAAGCATTTATTACACAGACAATTTCTGTACTATCCTGTACCGAAACATTTTTTTCTCTATGGTATGTCCTACGATCAAAAACATCATTTGTTCTCCTCTAAATAAAAGCGTTTGGTAAATATTGTCAGTTTTATTAATAATCTAATAATTAATGCGAAGTTTAATAATGAATGGAAATGTAAATTGTGTGTTCTCCAATCATTGGGCATACATTCCCCTCCATTAGGACACTTATAGAAATTTAAATAATCTTGACATAACCGGTAAGAAATTGTCATAATCTTTTCAATTCATTTCAAAATTAATTCCATTAAAATGTAATAAGTTCGTATATATATTTTTTACATTATAATAAAAATAACATCAATTTTATAAAAGAAAATTAAATTTTCTCTTCGACGATATATCCACCACGTTTTTTAATTACTTCTTGGACTATGTTCGGCATCCATTTGATTAATTTGTCTATTATTTCTGATTTTATTTGGTTGCATGCATGTTGTCGTATGTTCCACATATTTCGAAAACATATCGTACGAAATGAACTCAGCATACGTTTTCACTGAACAAAACGCAATAAATGAGTAAATTGTATAAGTGACAAACACTTCTAACTTAATATGTACTTTCGACAAAGCGATGCCATAAAAATGTTATACTAAACATAAGCTCAATGAGAAATTTCAATTTATACTAAATCAGATGTTTTAAAAAGGAGGGAGGGGTACACCATGCTGGAACAGAAGCATTCGCGTGAAAATATTTCTCACAATGCATCCACTATACGTAGATTTGTATGAACTTGATTTCACAGAATTATATGGAAATGCCAATTACTATGACGTGATTATGTACCCGTGATTTAATAGATATTGATCTTGAAGATTAGCCAGAAAATGGACCTCGACCTTGAACATCGAAATGCTTGAATCGTATTCTACTCATCACGAAGGTTAAATTTGTACAAGGAACTTTGAATCTCGTTGGAATCTTCTTGGAATCTCGTTAGAAAATAGTGCAAGCGTTTGAATAATTTTTATAGCTATTTTATGTGCAAGTTCCTCGAGTAAACTCGAGTGAAATCCGTTACTGTTGAAGCCACGTGTTTGCTGCTGCGTGTCTATGATGTGTTCGAAGTGCTGTTATACCGTTTTTAAGGATGTCATAACTTCCGCGATTGGTCTCCCCGGATTTATGGCACAGCTGGGAATTGTTAACTGACGCTATCTGGAAATTGTCCCGGCCATATCGTTCTCAGCAGCAATTGACCGGCGCATTGGTCTGAAATTATGATTTGGTCGTTCATTTGCTAACATCAATCTTCTTATATCGATATTTATCGAATTTATATTTGTTTCTAAGAGACCATCATATTCAATAATAATAAATACAAGCAACTATCATCAAAATTGCAATTAAAACAAAATTTACAAATGAAACAACATTTGCAAACACCATTTTTCAATGAAAACGTTGCTTTTTTCTTCGCAATCCCGTATCGAACCTGTAGAGGATGTTCCATTTATGTTCAGATTGTAAGAAATCTCGTAGACAGGTGACTTAAAAAACCAAGCTGACCAATATCCTTTAGTATTTTAAGTGGGGAGACAAATGAAGCTACTGCGTGGGCGTTTTCAAGTTTATGTAGCGGCACGCGGTCGGCGACCATAATAACCATAAAACTGTCCGCTTGCAGATGTCGAGGGTTCGGCAGAGAGAAAACGTCCTTGACGTTTGCAAGCACCGGAAATTCCTTTGTTTCTTTATTTTTTATCACTGCCACATGTACAGCAGACCTAGCCGTGGAGAAAGTCGCCGGCCGAAGGGATAGCTGTCTCCCCCGCCAAACTGAACGGGGGTAAAAGAAAGACAGCAAGTCTCCCAAAAAGGCGTGGCCGTTTTGGGGGAAATAATATAAATAACGGAGGCAAGAAACTGCACGAGCTTCTTCCCGTCTAACTATTCCGCCGAGCTTCTTCTTGTAACTATCCGCACCGCGCGTCATTCATGTACCTCTCTGAATAAAGTCCAGTTGAGTTTCACCCTGTGTCCTTCCGTTGTAATCTCGAACAACACGTTACAATTATTTCAAGCTCATGCTTTCTTCTATGATAAACTTATATTTTTAATTTCAGAATCTCATATTCCACGTAAAAAAAATGTGTAACTTTGGTTTGAAACATTATACAAAATTTGAAAAATGCGTTTGATACATCTTGGTAATTTATATACATGCTGGCAATTTCATCGAAATCGGTTGACCTTGATAGAAGTTGTAAACAATTAGAGATCGCGAAAGTCGCAATTTTGTCATGATTTTGTACATTCACATGATTTTTCAATGAAATTTTTCGATACAATTTTCAGTACGAATATAAGTTATACTTATATTTTAAATTTGCGTTATAGGTTCAGATAAAAAGGTTGAAAAAGTATGAGTCTTTTACTTTTTGACTGTACTAAGTAATAGCAAAATTAAAGAGGAGTATTTTAGTTATTGTACAGTAAACTAGTTCCTTTAACATTTGCAAAAAATTCAAGCAATTTAGTCCAAGATTACAAAAGTTGTTGCGTTTTAAAAGGTGTGCAAATACTGTAGTCCGCCACTACAGAAATTGTAATATTGATGTAACAAATTGTTTTACTCGTGGATTAAGTGTTATGTGATCGAATCTGAAACTGCTCTGTTTAATTAATTTCTCTGTGCCGTGAGAAAAGAATGGACAAGTAACAAAGTTATCTGAAACTTGATACATATATATAACATTGTTTTAAGGGTAATTAAGCACTTATAACAGTGAATGGAAATATTCTCATATACATACTATCTGATAATCTATCTCTATAATTGCGACATTATATACCATTCACACTAATTAACTACACTGTGGATCTGTATGCGAAACGAAAATTGTTTTCGTCAATTATAAGACGCAGAAATTGGAATGCGTAATTAGAAACTTAAAGTAACATTTACAATGTTACTGATATCTAAACGAAAATTTAACAAAATACTTTATTTGTATATTTCTACTTTCTATTAACTCTAATATAGCAATATACATTGCTGTGAATAATTATAAACTCGAAGTAACTCTTACATTTTCACTGATATTTACTTAGAAACCAAGAAGAGCTATATATGTATATTTCCATTTTCTATTAACTGTAATGTAAAAATGTACAAATACAGTGTTTTGTTAAGTTTTTGTTCAAATATCGCGAAACAATGTAACAGTTACCTTAAGTCTATACTTATTCATACCACTGTAAACATGTATCTACTTTCAATAATATCAGCAAATTATGAAGAAATGAAAACATTCTTAAATCCTTCTAGTGTCTTCATTACTTGCCATTTCATTGAGTCAAGTTTAGCATAAATGCACAAAATCCGCAGACTACAATAATTCTCCCTAATAATCCTTCAGTTTGTAAGCATAAATGGACAATTTGGGAAGAGATGATACAGTTATTCGAGCCTTGCACCTTGTTTTTATAGTTATATAAACTATTTCTATAGTTATATAGCCTATAAAAATGAACCGCGAGACTCGAGTAATCGTCCTAAAATGGTCCATTTTTGTTTACAACCCTCTTCAACAATTTGGAAGAATTTACTTTAGTTACAACGATTCAGAACGTTAGAAACTTGACTCTGGAATCGTGGTTTTTGTGAGTTGTGTCGTTGTCACTTCAAATGAGCGATATATTATGCCATATCATATCTTCGGTAAAACGAGCGGATTTCGATTTAACTCGGCCGTGGCGAGAGAATGAAGACTCAGCCAGTAAAATCACTAAAATCCTCATTCTGACGGATTCAATTACAGGTCAGCCCGAGTCTGAAACGATTTGCCGTCTCGCCGGTGAACGCGATCGACTTAGCAGCGACGTTGAGCTTCTACACGGAGTTCCTAACGGAGTCTAGCTTGTATCTGGAGGTCCTGTCGATAGCCCGAGTCCTGCGGCTCTTTAAGCTGACGAGGCATTCTCCGGAGCTTAGGATCTTGATTCATACCTTCAAGGCGTCTGCCAAGGAATTAGCCTTGCTGGTCTTCTTTCTCGTTTTGGGCATCGTTGTCTTCGCCAGTCTCATTTTCTACGCCGAACGACTTCAAGTAAGATCCTTACGGAACGTATATTACTAACTTTTGCACGATTATGTGAAATAATGATACTAATGTCACGATCAGGGATGAGATCAAGTTCGATACAGGGTGTACATTTCATCTTGAGCACACGTAATGTCTCTGTTACGCCTGATGTTAGAGAAAAGCGTGTAGCTGAAAAATTGCATTTCTCGTGGTTATTTCAAGTCAAGTGTTCAAGGTCGTTGTCGATTTCGAAATGTGAATTACGCTATTCAAGGTTATCTAGATGTCATTACATTATAAATGAATGAATTTACGTTTTCGTGAGTTACGATATTGCATTAACGAAAATATAGCGTCTCATTTGAAGAGTCAACAACGACCTTAAAAACTCGACTTTAATTGAGCTTGGAAAACAATCGTGATTAGCAATATATATTTTATCGAACTTGAAAATGAATTCTTTTTACAATTTGTTAAATAAGACGAACGCTATCGGGATCCACGGAATGTGAAATGATTACAAAACTGACTGCCATAACAAATCGTCTTCGCCGCTCTTATATTATAAAACAAATTGTCCTGATTTGATGTGACTTCTGTAACATGGTATGGTAGTTAACGTGTTAAGGCTGCCATATATCATAACGCGTTGCAATCTGATCAGATTGTTCATCAGAATAATAATTCATTCGTTGGGGCGATGAAATATGGTGGAAATAGAGCTTTCTGTCGTGCAGATTATTCATTGGATCCACGTGGTACCATTCGATTGCAACTCATTCTAGTGGTTCAAATATCACCTATTAATCAGTTTGATGCACACATCAAAACAGTGGAGAAGGATCGAAAGTACAATAATGACTTCGTCGACTGAAAGCCTCCATTGTTTTCCTTAAGAGGATTCATTAGCGGCACAAAAGGTGATATAGTCGTCGATAGTAATGATTAATCGACGAATTGAAACGCGCTTCATCTTCTTTGGAAGTTGAAGATCCAAATTCTTTGTAAGTGGTATCAAATGAATTTGTGCAGACTAGACAAATAATTTTCGATACGCATATTAAATACGTGTATTCGTCGTCGTAATAGGTAAAGAAGTAATTTCTCTGCAATGCCATTCCTTCCTTCAGCGAAAAGATGAAGGGTCAAGAAGGTGCAGTCCCTGTTCACAGTAATATTTTATTAAATTAATAAATATACTATTAAACAACAATACAAATTGTTTTTGTCTCGGCTCAACAGGCCAAGGCACATAAAACTGAAAACTGTTGGAAAACTGTTTTCTTTTAGTAGGTTTTTCTTTTAAAGATCAAATCAATGAAAATTCTTTTTACACATTTCAATTAAAAATAGTAATAGGCAATAGTTTTTTATCTAAATGAAATTTTATGAAACACAAAAGCAGTCAAATTAATACAAATCCTTGTTCTATCCTTGTTCTACAATTTTAATTAAAAACATTAATTGGACAATTGTAAATCAATTTATATCCAATTATATTCGAGATTAAATCAGTGAAATTTTCTGTAATATTACTGTAAATTACGATTTGCTACGATTATATAAGAATAATTCGTCTTTTAAATATAATAGAAATGTAGCAATGGCATGATTATTTGAAATTAAAGATGTTCTTTTAACAATATGACTGCTTTTGAATGAGTAAATGTGCAAAATGCTGCACAATTTTTTCTTAAAAGTAACAACATGTCATCTTTCCTTTCTCTAAATTCTGAAGGGAGAATCAGACTTTAAGAATCAGTTTGAAAAACCTTGAAAGTTGTCCGTGAATAGTGTACAGAATGTCAAAAAATTATGTTACGATCATCATAGCGGAATTCTACACTTCTCAATCGGTGGAGATTTGTTAAAAAAAAACTTTGTGCAAAATTGGCATTGGCCTTGAAAAACGCGGTCCAATATTTTTGCTGTATCATATAGCGTTCGTCAGGACGAAATCATGAGCCTCAAATGAACCACGGGTCGCAAGTTAACCGTTTTGCGGAATAACTGAATAGTAATTCTACATGCAAAAATTAATCCGGAAAAAAAGGGTAACATATTTTCATTTATGGCTTTGTTTTCGTGAAAACAGTTGGAAAATTCGTCGAGTTCATATTTCTTGTAGTATGACGAGAAGTAGATTTGTTATGTCATGGGCCAAACGTACCACTTGATTCCTATTAAATAGTATTATTTTTTTCAGCCTAATTTTCCTCGAAAACGGATCCTTAAATAAAAGAATGTTACTTTCATTCTTCGTGATGGTCGTGACATATCATTTTTATATGTCATTTTTAAAATCGTTTTTTATGTAAGTGGTTGATTTGCAACCCATGGTTCCTTTGAGACTCGTAACCTTGATCTTCAAGGTCAGGATCAATCTTGCACAAAGTTTTTTAACAGATCTCCACCGATCTAGAAGTGTAGAATTCCGCTATGGTGACCGTGACAAAATGTTTTGACACCCTGTACAACAGGGGTGTCAAACTCAAAAGCTAACTTGGGCCAAATACACAATGCTTAACTTTAGGTGGGCCGCAAAAAAAAATCAATGTTCATAGAAACAAATATTTTTATTTTGACTAGTACATTGTAATAAACATATATAAAGTTAAATTATTGTTTACGTCCTGATATTTGACATCTCTTCTCTGACACTATCTTTCCTATTTCGGGAGAAATTTTATTAGCCGAGACTACTTTTTTCAAAATTTCTAATTCACATTTTTATTTTATTTTTACTTTGCGTCGGATATATTGACTGGGCTGCAAAAACGTTCATCTCGGGCCGCGAGTTTGACACCCCTGCTGTACAAGATAGTAGTATTTATTATGAAATACCGCCGAATTGTGACCCCTTCCAGAAACAATAGCACAAGTAATACAATAAAAAATAGATGGAGCATATAACAGTGGTTGTAAAAATTCTACCCATATTTTTTAGCATTGTTCTGGATAAATTCACTCACATAATTACTGTTACCTAACTGTCAGCTGTAAAAACAGATGTTTCTTCGAATACAAGTATTTCTAAGCAAGACCATACTGTTCCATATTGTGTACTTCAACATTTTCATTTTCCTCCGTGTTCCATATTCGATGACCCTAATTTGGAACGGGCATTTCAATTGGGCGTTACAATATAGGGACATTGAATATGAAACGCAACGATATGGCACGAAAATGGTGTTCCATAATAGGTACACCTTCGTACTTTATTATTTTACGCGTATTATTTTTTAATCATAATAAGTAAATATTTCAAAGTTCATTACGTTATCTAGAATTATCAATTTATCAAACAGTAACACTTTTTTCAGTTGTAATAAAATTAAAAGCCCCCTGAAAAGCGTACCATGTTAGGTCTTCTGAAAGAGATCTGTCGCTGATTAAGAGTATATTTGGTGGGTGTGTATGAAAGGGGGAGGGGGTCCTAAATATAAGAAATTAGCTTCGGGTATTTAGTAATTTTCAAGGTATTCATGAAAAACGGTCATCTGAAGTCCAGTGATCTATAAAGTAGGAGAGGTATCGACTTCAATATCTACAGGGTGTCCAAACACTTGGTCTAGGTTTGGTCTGGTTCCGTTTATTCTTTATTTACGGTGCTTTTGCTTTAGGTAGTGAGTTTTACACTCTGATGCTATAATATCCTCGTGCTCTAGCATCTGATGGAGTGGTGGATTATGGTTCACAAGTGTAGATAAACGGTAACTGAGAGTTACGGGTAGAGGAGTGGGGGTAAAAAATGGACGTGGCCCATTTTCCTGCTTTTTCAGGCTCCAGCACCCAAAACCCCAAGAAGTGATGCGGGTAAAATACAAGGTATGGTGGAGATAATAGCATGTCGATGAGAGGATGTGAAGAATTTTTTATACGGAACTTGGTGATGGTACCGATCTGTGTTCTGATTGGTTCATGACTAATCACCGAGCTGTGTTCTAACGGGTTATTGCGTATCCACTCATTTTATCGGCTGTGGCTGGTTCTCGCATGCCATTTTTCTTTTGTTAGTGATAACAATTTGAGTGCGCGGTTGGCGATTGGTTGTCCCGCACCCCCTACACCGCAGCTGTCGGCAGCGACGAGGGTTTCGTAGTCGCGCCCTTTTGTCAGTAGCGATAAGACTTTTGCGGATAGAGATTGGCAACCACCGTTGCCGTGAATTTCCTCAAATGGCACGTGACTCCATCTGTGAGGTCACGGATGTGCGACTCAGTAGAGTATGTATTCATTTCTTTTGTGCATACCTAGAACAGTTTTCGCAATTTATAAATTTGTTTTTAGTTGAGAAATTTCTTTGCTAGATGAGAAAGTATATTTTTGTCATTATAGATCAAAAGAACGTTAAATTTTAAGTAGAAAAGTATAAAACTATGATGAGCCTGAATTTAATGGTTAAAAATATTATAAGATAAGTCGTCGATCGTAAATAACTTTAAGATGAACATACGTCACTTTTTCAAAAAAAATCGAGTTAATGGTAACACTAATTACAATTGAACGGTATCTTTCCATTTTAAAAAAATTTGCAATCAATAAGTTGAGAACTATTGAGATTTGTTCGAGAGAAGTTTTGCTAATTAACGGTAGAACAAACATGTTTATTTTGAAAGTAGCGTAAGTCGCTGTACTCAGGAAATTAATTGCGGGGCTTAGTATAAAAGGAATAGAAACGTGTGATAAGTGTGTGTGAAGTATTGTTTTGAATTATCTTCAGTATTTTTAACAAAGTTGTGATCACTGGACTTATTTTTATAAGTGCAAAAGAGAATAGTGCAGTTTTGTAAATTATATTATA